CGGAAAATTCGAAAACATCAAAAATGGTAAAATCGTCGCTAAATTCAAAGGTGCAAAACATTTAAAATCACATGCTACTAACATGTCATGGTTTACTTATCTTTCACTTGACATCGTTATCGCTGATCTGATCGCAGTTTTTGCGATAGTTTTTGCTCTCTACTCAATCGTCAAGAAAGTATTTGCAAAAAAAAGGTTGGAACAAAGTCAGGAAAAAAACAAAATTGATTTGCTCAAATCAGAGAAAAAAACTATCTGAAACGAATAGTTGAGTCTAGTGCACTCACGTGTGCAAAATATTAAATTGTATTGTAATCTTAAATTGTCTTGCGGAAATGATAACTCAAATGTTTATATATTTATTACGCAGTGAATTGTGTTTTACTACCTGATTCAAACTGATTATTATATTGTTCTTATACAAACGAATGAAGAAGCACATGCATTTTTTCTAATTCTTTTATATAAACAAAAGGTTGACAACAAAAAATGGCTTAGATCATATTTATGACATTGCAAATTATATATGAAATCGAGTGAAATTCGAATTTCGCTCAAATTTTAACACTCAAAAATCCAATGACGCAGTTTTTAAAGTGTTTATGAATGTTTTGTCCAAGGATACCGTAGAAATTGAGCAAAATTTCGAAGCAAAAACTGGTTCATCTGATTGAAACAATCAAATTGATTAATACTTTCCTTCACATGAGTATTGTATCAATGCCCTGAATAAATACTTGCTTCAAATCAATCTTGAAAATCGACCATGGCATATTTATGTAATTATTATCTGTCTTGCTGGTTTAAATTTTAAATTTCGATCAGTTTTGGCTAGACATTTGAAGAAACAAGTGGTCAAAACAAAAAACCTTAAAAATGGTAAGGAGATCGGAATGTTCAATTCATTCTTTCTTTGAGTCTCAAAGAATTGGAAAATTCTCCTTGCGCTGTCTATTCTTGTCACACTGTCCAATGGATATAAAGTACTATTGATGGGCCCATATAATGGACCAATCCACATTTTGTACCTGCGAACATTTGTAAACGCACTTTTAAATCATGGAAATGAGGTTACATTCTTAACAAGCCGGTCAATGAGCAATTCAAATTTGGAAAATTACTAAGAAGTGCTCATCGATCCACCGTTCGACATTCATAGTTTATGTAAGCGAAAGTTCGGATAGTGAAAGCTCATTTTGAATTTAGAAATATTTTATTGAAAGAAAATCCTTCCAGTTCCACAAACCGATTTGCAGGATTCGGCTGAATTTGATTAATTGAAAGAAATTTCCGTGTTGTCACCAATTGTGAATAAAATGAATGCGTTTGCACACAAATTCAAAGCACCATTCGTTACGATTTGAAAGTTTTAAACATTTTCACTGCTTTCAAAGCATTTTATTCAAGTATTGATATGCTAACGAATTTATAATTGATTTGGTATTACGAATTATATCGATGAAAATATGGGTCTGTTGATACTATGGAGTATTGCTCCACATTGGGTAAGTTTCTCGCTTGTTTTCTTCAATGGATTGAGTTTTTTTACCCAGATGAAATTTCGACTTTTTCGAGATATTTTTCATATTGAATTTACAGAAGTTGCCGTACACCGACAACATGTCATTCAATCAGCGGTGGTACAATACGATAGTGACATTTTACGATTATTTCATTCGTCGATTTGTATATTTGCCGCGTGAGGAAGCATTGATGAAAAAATACTTTGCCCATTTGGAACCGTTGCCATCGTTGAACGATCTATTGAAAAGCATATCGGTTATATTTGTCAACTCACACCGAGCCTTGGCACCACCACGGCCAGCAATGCCAGGTCTGATCCGATTCTTCTTCATTTTTAACATTGTAACTTTGCTTATTATAACTTTTTGAAATCAAAACCATCGGTCTTGATTCGATAGGTACTATAAATATTGGAGGCGCCCATGTGAAAACCGTGAAACCATTGCCCGAAGATCTTCAGAAATTTTTAGATGAATCAACACATGGGGTTATCTTCTTTAGTTTAGGAAGTCTTATCAACACATCCAAATCGCCAAAAGAAAAAATTCAAACATTCTTGGGTGAGAATATTTTTGATATTTTTCTGAACTTTTCATTCTTTTTTTTCGTAATGTTTAACGGTCAAACTTTTGACCGTTATCAATCATTGTTGTTTGTTGACAAGTACAAGCGAATTTTTGACTATCAGTCCAATATTTTATTATCAGAACTCATTTTTTTATTGTTCGGAAAAGGTCAGTACTCTTCAGCCTGACAATTTTCGCTTTTTGTAAATCCCTTTTGTGTAGATTTAGTGCTCATTT